TTTGGTTGCCCTAGAAAAGAAATGTCTGACATGTAGTTCAGCGATCTGTGATATATTTCTATCTTAGTCAGAGTCCTCGTTGAACTCAGTCCAATATTCCGAAGGTAGGACTTGGTCAGAAGACGTAGAAATTTGAAAACGTAACTTGAAAGTATCGTGTTCGGATATATCGAAATTGGGGCCGTATCTTGAATTCACGTTTCAAGTCAATATTTCTGAGCTGTTCCAACTTAACTTTTATTAAACACATGTAATTGGATTTAAAGTGAATTACTCGTAGTTGGGAAGACACCAGTTCACTTATCATGTTCACTTTACGCAGGCTCACTTACACTCTAGTCTCTTGATGGTCTGTCGAATAATTGAGTTCAATTAATGTTTAAAAATCGGGTATCACAGCCCATATTTCACAGTTTAACACATTAGGTATCCCATTCATACCAAAATGCTGTTTGAATATAGATACAGTAAAACCCCTCAAGTTCGACACCCCTATATCCTGGACACTTTTAATTGGAACCGGCGAATATCCTATAATTTTACATGTCCACAATACCCTATATCTTGGACACCCCTTTATCCTGGAACTTGGACACCCATTTTGTTGTAAGTTGGACAGGTGCACTCATGCACTTAGCTTCGATGCTTTTATGGGAAACGTTTACAGTTAGTATTTTGTTGTTTAGAATTTCTGACTGATGAATGCCTTCTACCTGAGGATTAGCTTATGGTTGAAGGTGTGAGACATTGGAATGCAGTGAAAGTGCATCGTTATTCTTTTGTTGAACCCTTCACTGGACTACAGTACGTATTGCTGGTACAGTTTTAACTTTGTCAGTACAGTACAGTCCCACTATAACGCTGGTCGCGGGGAACAGGGGTAAACCCGCGTTATAGAGAAACCGCGTTATTACGGGAGTGCATCAGAAAAATCGGTACAAGTACTGGACGTACTGTACGGTACGTACAGTATTAATAGACTATCGCCATTTAAGAGTATACATATTTATTTAACTATGTTACGATTGATTTTTACGGAAAAAGTAATAAATAATTAATTTGGCTTGCATTTAAAATAATTTTGAGTTCTGTGTGAAGGATAATTGATGAACTTTTTTCTCTTTTGTTGCCCTGTGGGGGACATGAGGTACCCGCGTTATATCTGGAACCGCGGTATAGCGAACCGCGTTGTAGAGGGGTTGTACTGTACTGTGCTTGCAACTGAGTTAAACAGTGTTAACAGCAATTACAGTAGTTAGATTATGTAAGTAAATAGATTGATTGTCGGTAAACGTAAAGTATTGGTGCCAGTCCCTTCGAGCTCATCCATGCAAGTTTAATTTAGTGAAAACAAAATTTGTAAAAATTTAATATACCCTTTTGATTTTTCTTATCAATAATTTCCTTTTTGGGAAGGGCTCCATAATACTCAACAATTACCACATTGTCATTACACCGCAATTTGAAAGGATGATTTTCCCCTTTCCCTCTATCCTGGACACCTCTGGAAGTTGGACACATTATCGTGGAACCCGCAAGTGTCCAAGTTAGAGAGGTTTTACTGTATTTCAAAAACAGAAGTTGAAATTTAACCCCTCAAAGCATATCTTTGTGTTTTCTATTTTATTGGTGCTCTTATGGCACCTCCTTTCCCAACTTTAGAGAAACACAGCGTTTCATGATTTTGAAGTCATTTTTCAATCTCGTGTGGTTTGGTTTTCTTGGTCAACAGCACAAGAAGTCTTCTGTTGAAATACTTGGCGACAAAAAAGTATGAAAGATTTCACAACAGTCTGTATTGGTACATTCTTACTTGTAGAAACTAAGTCTCCAACTGTAATTTAGAATTTGTTATCATAATATATTGGTCGATCACATGTTTTCAAGTTGTAAGTTGAAAGAATATAATTTCTTTTAATCATAGGGTGCTGAACTGTATTCTCACCAAAAACTTATTGACCACTTCTATTATTACGAGTCACTATTTAAATTTGGATTGTTACTGACGCTGCTTGACAGTCCGCATATTCGGCTCTTGCGTTGTCATACCAAAGTGCCTAGGTCTGTGTTACACACTAATGGCACTCCATCACTCACATCAAACAAGCCATCTCATGCAGCATCGAGGATCAATTGACATCAGGGCTGTGTACGTTAATCTATTTTGAGTCTTTTGTCGTTGTCCTCAGTCCTATCATCTTTATGATATTGGTTAGAAACATGCCAAGACCTCTACATACTTGTTCCCCGCCAATTCTAGTTCACCATGGATACCTGTCATTTCATTCGACCCTAAATGACATATTAGCAAATACAGCGTCGTTAAATGATCGAATGGCCTCATACACTTTACATACCTTAAAACTGATAGGTAAAGAAAACTAACAAGTAGTAGAATTTGAGGTTCTCACGGCGGTGACTTCTGGGTTGTAGCGCCATGTAATTTGGTAGAAGTTTACCATCGTTTCAGAGGTCCTTGCCACCTCCATCATCAAGGCAATGACTCATCGCTACACGACACTAAAACCCAGAAGACAGCCATCTTAAAACTAACAGGAACTTTGCAATTGTCACTATTTGAATCAAGGGTATAGGATAATTACTTTATCGTGGTTGAAGCTCAGGGATTCTGAACATCTCATTAAAGATGTCAGGTCTTGAAAACAGCTCTTACAGGGGCTGACATACTAACTCATATTCTGTGAAAGTAAATGGTATATTTTAGCAAACAAAGACGCTTCTAAAGTGTGTTTTTAGCAAGTAAAATTGTTTGTATGGATCAGATTTGAAAACATAACCTTCAAATCAGCAGGCCGATGAACAACAAATCAAGGAAAACTTAAAATAAATTATGTAGTGTTACATTTTTGACTTCATTATCACTGTTACTTTTTCAAGACACTTTTCACCATTTTACAAGTGATCATTGATTTTTAACTATTGTACAATTTTGATGTAAATCTACTTATTTTAGTTAGTTATTTAAGTTTGCTGATTAAAAATAGAGAATAAAATATAATAAAATAATCCACTAGTGTTATGTTAAAATCTTTAAAAATAATGGGTCACAGCACAGAGATGTCCACTTGTTATGTTTTCATCTGTGGATGGGCATGTTGAATGTTTTGTGATCTCTTGCCAAGGGAACACATTATGACCGTTTTCGGTCAAAACAATTAGTTCAGTATCAAAGAACACTTTTAAAATAATGGAAAATATGTGAAAAAGTGACAGTGATTTTGAAGTATAGAATTATGAAAGTAATACATTCTTCCTTATATTTCTAGCCATGCTAATGCAGCACAGATTATACATTGATAATGTTAATGATAATACCGATCATTAATTGTTTTTGTTTTAATGAAAGGTTACTGGACTAAACTTGCTTTACAGCATCACATTCTACATATATTATTGTCTGTTTCCAATTTGCTCTTGGTATGATTTCCACATGGAAATTTTGAAACATAGCTCGATAATGTGCATATGTACAGTTTAGACGAGCGTTTGTGTGAATGCAACATATGCATTAAATCAAAAGTAAATACGTGAAGCATCTTATTTGCCTGTGCTAGTCTGTTATGTTATCTACTTTTAATTCTTTTTTCTATTTTATTGTGGCTCTCCATTCTTGGAACTATGCACACATATTAACAGGACAGCATAACACAGAAAGACAGAGTCAAGCATCCGTGCCTCAAACCTACTAACACGGTTTAGGAAAGTCATTATCATTAATGTAAGTTATTTTTTAAATTGGGCAGACATGTTGGTGGCTCTGTTTGATGGACACCTGGCATAAACAATTATGATTAATGGAAGCTGCAGAAAAGCCAGAAATAGACTAATTCAGCACCTGGCATAAACTATTATGATTAATGGAAACCGCAGAAAAGCCAGAAATAGACTAATTCAAGATTACAAATGACTGGATTTATGACGCCAGCTATAAGTTTACAAACACTTCAAGTTTGAGACTTTGAAAATTTCAAATACTTGATTTTTGTTGTAGAGTGTGCATTCCTTTCTTTACTTCATCACAAAAGTGAAGGTACGTCACGTTTTCATACTAACCCCCATAATCACACTGCGGAAACACGTCCGTACTTCACTTTAGCTAGAACTCGGCACCATTTCATCAGTTGTCTGTATACAACTTCCCTATCCAATTAACCATTTGCATCCTAAATATTTTTAAATTTTGCAACCTTCAACCATTTCAAATGATCATCTTCTTCTTGCCTCTTTATTTTTAATTTTTTTTACATTTTCTTACCATTTTTAAATTGTTCTTGCCCTACTGAGAATATTTCCAACATGGCACTGACTGGTGTTTTTTACCCATTAAAGGGAGAAATAGTTGACAGTATTTTACTGGCTTACACATCCTTTTTATAGCAACATTTAACAATATATTTTACCCCCTATCACACAAATGCAAATGTATCAGTGTTTTTTAACTTCCTTACTGTAATTAGCCTGCAGACTGGAGTGTTAATTAGTAAAAATTGGCAGAAAACTCTTTCATTGTGGGAGAGTCCACCAGACCTGTTAAGCAGCGAAAAATGGGGTGAATCTGTAACTTCTACCAGAATTATTTGAATTTACCTATTACTGTTCATAACTTGTTCTCTTTATATTTACATTATCAAATAAATGCCCCTGCCAGTAGCAGATTTATTTACTGTAATGTCCATATTTGGAATGCTGCCATTTACAACAGTGATCCAAAAAACCTGATTATGTTTAATTTGTTAACGCAGAAGTTTGTGCACAGCGTTTTCACAACTGAATACTCCAGAGAGTCGTCTACAGGGCCATTGGAAAAATATGGTTTTGCATTCATTTTGAATTCATTATAATGCTTAATGGTACATTTGTATTGCCACAGGT